TGACCATGAGTCAAGGGGACTCTTAGACGTTTGGTCGTTTGGTTTGGAGCTGCTTGCTGGTGCGCGGAAAATGCTGCAGCACAGTGTTTGCCATGATGGGGATTTGGGTTGAAATCTTTCCTAGTGGCGCTGTTGGTGTGGTAGTTGAGGTACAGAGGCAGCAACGCTTCGCAGGAGCGTTGATGAAACGTGCCTGCCTCATGCTTACTTCAATCATGAAGCAGGAAATCAATCCTCGTTTGATGACAGGTTGGCCTCGGAGGTGGGCCAAGGCCGTGTGAGCTTGGCTCATGCTGTTAGAGTTGGGCGAGCAGTGGGATCTGAAGTTTGGAAGTTCTTTGGTTGCATCATAATGTGAGCTTGATGTGTGCTGTGTGTAGGCTTCATGTTGAGTTGCATGAGTTGTGTTTGAGGCCAGCTGCATTGAATGATGCTGCAGCATACGCCAAACTTGTCAAAGCTGGTCTTACCTTCAGCGATTGCATACGTCATGTTCAATTGCCAATCATGGTCGATGGCAGGGCTGAAATTAAAACATGGCCGATGTTGCTGCCTCATGTGCTAGTGCGAACCTCAGGTGATATTCGTACATTGTGCTCTCATGCCCTGTCAACTCAGGCTGGCAAATTGCTCTCTGAAGGTTGCTCCTTTGTCCTTGGTGATGCAGACCAATATTTTTGGTCCAGAATGTCAACAATGGGTGTTGACAAACCAGGTGGCAACCAAAAGGCTGTTGGAATACAATTTTTCGGTGATGAAGCTGAGATTTGGAAGTCTAACCAATACTGTGCCATGAGCTGGATGTCAGAACACACACCGTATTACAAGAATGCTGCTCTGTCGAGGTTCCTGATATGTTTGTTGCCTGTCAATGGCTATGTCATGTCGCCTTGTGGAAAGGTGAACCTCACGTTGCAAGAGGCCCTGCGCCATGTTGTCGCCAGCTTCAATGAGTGGTATGACAAAGGGGTCTCAGCTGATGGCTGTTCGCTTTTTGCGGCTGTGACATGTTTGAAAGGTGATTGGAAATGGATTGTCCAATCCCTATGCTTGTGGAAGACCCCGTCCAATGAAGAGTTTTGTTATTTATGCTGCGCAACGAAGGGCCAATTGCACCCGTACACTGATGTCACTTCCTCTGCAAGCTGGCGCTCATCGCCCAGCAGCAGCCCTTTCCAAACAATGCCACAGTTGGCTCAGTTGAGGTGTTTCTCGTTGAACATTGTGGCCATCGATATATTGCACGTCCTTTTTCTCGGCATTGGCCGCGATCTCATTGCCAGCATATTGGTGGTTTGCTTGAGGTCAAGGATATTTGCTGGCTCTAATGTTTCTTGGCAGATCAGTTGAAGGGTATGGCATTTTCGCTTTGTTCGATGCATTGCATTGTTGCAAGACATGTTTTGACCAAAGTGTATTTAGGAACATGTGTGTGAGGCTTTCTCGCGTATGGCTGAAGCCACTTCCATCATCAGAATTTGGTCCAGAAATAATGGGAAAAAAGTTCTTCCAAATTCATGGAAACTCACCAATGCGAAGCTGAGCCTCAAGAGCAATAAGTATTGCCACTTGCTTGGCAAAGGGTGGCATACATCTGTGCTGCTGGACTTTCTGGCAGACTGGCTCGTCGATGTGGATGTTGACCCCCTCATGAAGACTGCTGTCTTCTGTTGTCACAATGTTGTGCACTTGTTGCAAAGAGCCAGAAAGGATGGCATATGGTTGACGTCACAGCAAGCTGAACAAGTTCAATCAATGTCTCATGCTTATCTGAGTGCCCACCTCACTTTGCATCAGAAGTTTGTTGGTTGGTGCCCAATCAAATTGTTCAACTGCAGGCCCAAAATCCACATGTGGCAGCATATGTGCGAGTATGCCAGGGTGTCGCTGAAAAACCCCGTGTCCGGGGCGACTTGGATGGACGAGGATTGGATCCGTGGTATCATGAGACTGGCTGGAGCTTGCCACCAAAGAACTGCCCACTTCACGAGTTTGAAGCGATACCTTACAGGACAGTATGCGTTGCTTGACGCGTTGCTTTGCACTGAGTTGGGAAATCGGTGTGACTACCCAGGACTCAAAAGGGCAATGGTGGACTTGCGCAAGAGGTGTGGACTTTAGTTGTTGTTACTTGCGTGCAATGTTGTTGGAACAGGTTTGTGTTCCGCAGCCATTTTTGCCAAACATGTTGGAAAGTGCGTGTTGAACTTCTTGCCTCTTGCTGCAGCCATTTCTTGTTGATTGAACATGTTCAACAAGTTGTTGTTGTTGTTGTTGTTGTTGTTGTTGTTGTTTGACTGAGGTTGTTGTTGTGTTGCAGTGTTGTTGGAACATGTGCATGGTGATCTGCAGCCATTTTGCAAAACTTGTTGTTGCATGCAACATGTTGTTGTTTTGATGTGTGTGCGCGCGAGTGCTTTAGCATGTTGTTGCAGTTTGGTACATCCGAGGTCTTCTTCGCGGCTATCTGTACCTTGCCAGGCAGCTTTGGACAGTTCTTGGTTGATCATGGATGTGCTTGGCTGGGCTTGAAGTCAAATCAATCAGGGTTGTTCAATTGCGCTTGTTCAACTTGGAATGTGAATGTTTGTGGTGATGTGGCCAGGTCTTTGCTACGAAGTGAGTGCAGGACTGGCAATGTTCTTCAAGGCAGGAAGTAACATGCGCATGTAGCTTTGGAAGTGTAATTTGTTGAAAATCCTGCAATCCTTTCCTCTGATGTTTGCCAGGCCCGCTGCTGTGGCGCTTGACTGTTTGCTAAGTTGCGCTTGGAGAAAAAAGGGTTCTGCACTGTTTTTGCATTTGGGTTTTGTGTTGAAGGGGTGAGGTGGTCATAGGGCTTTAAACGGGTCTCTGGATTGGGGAGTGCTTTCGCAGCACTGAAATGACATGGAACATATGTGCCAGCTCAGGCGTTCAATGTTCTTGTTTTTTTTCGCAAATGTTTGTGTTGATGGGGCTCTATACTCCCAAAATGGGAGGGGGGATATCCTCATGATCGGGGGTCATCCTGATGATCAGGGGTGGATCGCGGGGATATCCTCATGATCCTCATCTTTGGGATAAAAGGCTTCTTTCACAAGGGAGCGCTGTGACAAACAAGGTGCTGATTGTCATGATGTTTGTCGCGGACACCCAAGCAGCATCAGGAATATCAGTATCAGCTTAACAAAAAGGTGGTTATTCTTTTTTGTATCAGCATCAGTTCCTGCGCTTAACAAAAAGGTGGTTAACGAGACCAGTACACCATCTTTCTCCGCCGACGCTCTTCCGGAGAAAACGGGAAACAAGTGTGCGATGCGTGTCACACTACACGCATCCAGACCGTCCAACGCAAACGCGTCGCCGCCAAGACCCACGCGCGTGTAGCGTCGCTGCGCCAACGAATCCACCGAGAACACATCCTGCAAGAAATCAAAGACCTCATCGCCAGTCACGTCCACGAACGCAAACGTCTGGCTCCGACGGACTCCGGCGCACAGGAAGCCAACGCCGCAAAGCGCCCCAAACAAAGCACAAGTGTCGTGGCACCACACGCATCGTCCATCGAGCCACTGCCGAGCACAGTCCCGCACAGTCGTCGTCAAACAAAACGCCAAGCCACGACAGAGACTCACCCCAAACCAGAATCCAAACAAGGAAAACAAACCACGTCAAGCGCGCAGCCACACGCGCCAACGCATGGCCACGCATTCAATCCGGAGGTGCCCGAGGCGAAGCCAGGGAATCAGGTCAGAGGGGAGCCGACAAGGCTGTATGACTACGTCTGCCCACGCTGCAAATGTCCATGCCGCAGTGGGGTCCAAACTGGCCGAGTCCACCATCGAGGAAAGTGCGGCCACAAATTTCGTGTCTTGGACGGTGCAGTTGCTGGTCGCCAACACGAGCACACTTGTCCACGATGTGGTGCGCGCGTCTTGTCAGCCAAGCCCAATGGACGAATTCAAGTCCAACACCGCACACCCAACGGCAAGGCTTGTTCTTGTCAGGCATGGAATGTTGCAGCATAAAAACATGGCGCGTTCTGTGCCGGACAACCAGACAAAATCGTCATCCCCAATCGAGCCTTGCTTTGTACTCCTGGCGTTTATACTTCTCAATGCGCTCGTAGCCGCACTACTGCAAAAGCACACAACTCGGGGAGGGCCAAACCCCAGAAGCCCCATCGTTGTCGTGGAGGTCGTGGGAACACCTGGTCCCGCCACAGCTTTTCCCAATCTAATTCTGATCCAAAACGAGCCTCCCATGGTCGCACTTTGGGTGCCAAACGCCGCCTCTGAATCCCTAGAAAAAAAGAAGTTTGTTTCCATTTGTCTCGGTCATCTTGGCCCCGAACACCTGGTCCCGCCACAGCTTTTCCCAATCTAATTCTGGTCCAAAACGAGCCTCCCATGGTCGCACTTTGGGTGCCAAACGCTGCCTCTGAATCCCTAGAAAAAAAACAAGTTTGTTTCCATTTGTCTCGGTCATCTTGGCCCCGAACACCTGGTCCCGCCACAGCTTTTTCCAATCTAAGTCTGATCCAAAACGACCCTCCGAGCCTCCCATGGTCACACTTTCGGTGCCCACCCCTGCTTCCCCTCCTTCAGCCGGGGTCGGCGGATTGTCTTGCCCGGGCACCGCAGCAGTCAACCTCCCCCACAACTCCTAGCTCATTGCAATGTGTCAATGGAAGACGCCAGAGTTTGGAACATGTGAGAAAGGACTAGTGGACGCCTCCGAACCCAAGCAGCTTCTGAAGAAATGGAGCCCTCTGCACGTCGGAATGCCGACAAGCGGCAGTGATGTGGAGCTAGAGAGAGGGGAAACAGAAAAGGATCAAGAGTTTCCAACCGACGGGCACGAGAAGACCCCCACAAGACGAGCAAGCGGCTCTTGGGGGCAAGAAAGCAGGTTGACTTGTGGGGGTCTTTTTCTGGGGGGAGGTTGAGGTCGCGGGTTGAAAGCAGGGGTGGTAGGAAGGAAGTCACAAGCCACTAAACGTACGTCATTTGGCCCAGGTGCCACTTCGACCTCGAGAAGCGGAAGCAGTGCAAGGCGACATGAGGCCGGAGCAACCGGCGAAGTGGTTGTGACCGCTAGGGGTTTGAAGGGCAGGGGCGTTGGCTTGGGGAGGAGAACTGGTTCGAGAACATCAGAGAATATGAAGGAAGCATATTGTGGTTTCTTGTGTAAGTCCGAGGTGGCAGGCTGACTTTGATGGTTGTGCTGTGCTGAAGGCTTTGTGGTAGAGTAAAAAGAGTCTTGTGTGTATGTGGAATGTCGTTGCCGGCAGGTGCGATGAGGAGTGTCTATGCATGGTGGTCTGGATGTCCAGCCAGCTGTTGGATCGGTGCGGGCGCAGGCGCGCCGTCGGGTTGGGGTGCGGTAGGTCTGCGGAGGAGCTGATGCGCATGGAAGAGTAGGGCATGGAGTCGCGAGCTTGTTAGGCAGGAGACAGTGCAGAAGCAAGCTTCGGATTAGCACTAAGCTTTGTAGGAAAGGAGAGGTTCAATTACAAGTGGAAACACTGGTTCCTTGCTGAAGCCCATCTCAAACGGAGTCAGACGAGCGGTCGAACTGCGGTGCTGGGTTGACATGCCGGTCATTCGCGCGGCAGAGCCGGCAGCAGCGGCATCGGTGCCGACCGCAAAGAGTGCGCCAGCCGCTGGACCTGCAGCGAGCCCGGCGTTCCGCACGGTCGAGACCATCGCCTCCATCACGCGACCATCGCTGCTAGCCGTCAACGTGTCAGGAAGGCTCCTGTTCAAATCCGGAGTATCGCAGAGTTATCCGGCTATGGTGCTGCGGATTGGTGATGGGACTGGATCGGTGGCGATCAAGGCGTCGGCGGAAGGAGGTTGGTCGGAGATCAATGTGGACGATTGCGTGGAAGTTCGGGGTGTGAAGGTGAAGCCGGCATATGCAGGTCCTGGGATCGAGCTGCATTACGATGTGGAAGCGACAGGGGTCAAGCGTCGGCGCTCGGCACAAGCGTGGCTGAGCCGGGAAGTAGAGTCGTGTTGTTTTTGAGGGGGAGATCAGAGGGAGAGGTTGTGCGAGCGCCATGGGCGGCTCGGGGAACAGAAATAAGGTGGAATGCCTGAGAATAGTAAGGGCCGGGTACGTTTGCTAGAAGTCGTCCGAGGTTGCCCCCACTGGCTGGGGGTTGTGGGGTGGAATCTGTGGAGCCGTAGCAAAGTGCAGTGCAACGCAGCCGGTCGACATCCCAGGTCGCAGTCTTCGGTGCACAAGCTGGAGGGGGAGCATGACTGGCCGCTGGCAGAACTTGTCACGACTCCGCCGCCAGAGGTAGAAGAGCTGACAGAGATGCCGATCTTGTGGACTGCAGCGGTAGTCGTGGCAGAGGCCGGAGCACTTGAAGAGGGCCTGGAGGGCGAGAAGGATCGGCGGGAGATTCTGACTGCGGAAGGCGGGGCGGTGTGAGAAAGGGGCCGGAGTTTGGTGGGGGGAGTTCGATTTCAGCTAGTCGTTCATGCAACCCCCGTGCGTGGATTCTCGCGCTGGGATGTTTCTGTCCATACTGAGGTAGTCTCGAATGTCTCGTCGTTGTGACTGCTTTCCCTACCATCGCTGCTGTCCACACGCCACCACAACAACACCTAACAAAAAGACCCCCGCAAGTCAAGCAGAGCTCTTGCCTCCAAGAGCCGCTTGCTGGACTTGTGGGGGTCTTCGCATGCCCGTCGATTGGAAACTCTTGCTGATGTGTTTCTGTGAGTCGCGATGTGCTCTCCAATACGTCTCCGTCACGGATGTCCTCTATACCGAGCCTGCTTTCCTCACACGGCCAAAACAAAATCCCCCCCCCAAAAAAAAATCTGTTCTGTGTCCTCCTTCTCCATACTCCGCCAGCAGCTCCGCAGCCAGTGCTTGCCCTGCAATGACCTGCTCCGCGCGCTTCTTCGTCGCCGCTCGAACCTGCAGGCGGAAAAGGTCCAACTGCTGATGCTGATGAGGAATCCTGCAATATCTGAAGGTGCTTTGCGCTATCCAAGCAGTCTTGACTTTACTCTAGTATTGTACACGTACGTCATGATATGCTTGGGTTAGGAGGCGTCCACTAGTACTTTCTCACATGTTCCAAATTCTGGCGTCTTCCATTGACAAATTGGACGTCTAATTTAAGCGTTTATTTGTTTTGGGGTGGGGGTGACTGCTGCGGTGCCCGGGCAAGACAATATTTACCGCAAGTATGATGAACAAAGCACATCATCAAACCTTGGATATAGCAGCCAGAAAGAAACGTGCGCTGTGTTCTTTTCGGATTACCTGCAGTGATTTCTAGTCAAGCTCGTTGTGCATCTTTTTCTTGCTTTCCCTGATGAGATGGACTTTGTGGAAGTGAAAAAACACGGTTGTGCGCTGATGAGATAAGGCTGCTGGTTGACGACATACATTTCACAAGTTCCATCTCATGTGGAGACAGTGTACCCAGTCTCTCCAGTCCTTGGCAGAACCCACAATTGGTACATTGCTTGCAAGCCGCTTCGATGCTCAGACGGTCAGCCTTCTTCCGCGTCCTCGTCAAGAACAGCCCTCTTTGCATCCTGCAAATGCGCCGCGGCCACACGAGTGCCTCAGGCCCATGAGGGAGCTGCATAGTTCTGCTGGCCACCGCTAGCTCGACACTGAGGTGCACAGAGCCCTTATTCAACCATCACTCCCTACAAGTCTCTCTCGGCTTGCCACCACAACACTCGTTGCCACGACTTGCGCTAAATGTAAGCATAATCGACGCTTCTGGCTGCTGCGTCCTCCATGTCCATACTCTGCCAGCAGCTCCGCAGCCAGAGCTCGCCCTCCAATGAGTCAAGCAGACCTCTTGCCGCTAAGAGCCGCTTGCTGGACTTGTGGGGGTCTGTGCATGCCCGTCGGTTGGAAACTCTTGCTGATGTGTTTGCGTGACTCATGATGTGCTCTCCAATGCGGCTCCATCACGGATGTCCTACACACCGACCGTGCTTTCCTCACACAGCGAAAACAAAGTCCCTTCCAAAAAGTACTTTTCTGTGTCCCCTCTCTCTAGTTCTACATCACAGCCGCTCGTCGGCAGTGCGATGTGCAGAGGGCTCCATTTCTTCAGAAGCTGCTGGGGTTAGGAGGAGTCCACATTCGAAGCATTTAAGATGTACATGACAATCTGGTGCTGCTTCCACCTTTGGTTCAAGATTCCGGCGAATCCCGACGGCCGACTTCGAGATGGCATGGTTGACATTAGCTCGCAGTGTTTTATGCTCCCATTATATTCGGTTTAGAGAAGACAGGACTAGTGCTCAAAACTGAGTTGGGACTTTTCGTTGCTGAGGCCTCGTTCTCCGCCTATGGGAGTCTCACGCCCACATGGCTCTGCAGGCTGGCGACCGATTGGCGATCAAGGAAGTCACTTGCAAGGTCTTTCGAGGAAAGCCTACCTACGATGTGTGGGCAGCCGCGATGATCTTGCCCATCCCCGAGCAGGCATCCTGACCCCAGAAGCCTTTTTGAGGATCTGGAGCCCTCTGCACGTCGGAATGCTGCGAGGCGGCAGTGACGTGGAGCTAGAGAGAGGGGAAACAGAACATGTATAGTTTTGATTCCGTGGCGGCTGTGTGTGGAAAGCATGGTTGGTGAGAAGGAGACGCATTTGAGACCACTCCAATAAGTTCAGCAATTGGCTCTAGGGGGCAAGAGGTTTGCGGCGCGCGCGGGGATCTTTTATGGTGTGGAAAGCAAGGTTGGTAGGAAGCACAGCCGTGACGGAGACTCAGTAGCACAGCTGTGAGCAGAAACAGACCCCCAGTAGTCCAGCCAGCGGCTTTCGGGGAAAAGAGGTTTTTCCACGTGTGCTTGTTTTTTTGCCACAAAGTTAGTCGGGAGTCGCAGCCGCTGTTGGATCGCTCGTGCATGGACGTCTCCAGGGCTAAGCAGGGTGAGGCCAGAGATCTGGTGATGGAGTGACGGTCCGCAGTTGGTGCTGCTGCTGCTGCTTGGTAGCTGTTGCTGCTGCTGCTGCTGCTGTTGATGCTGCTGCTGCTTGGTAGCTGTTGCTGCTGCTGCTGCTGCTGCTGCTTGGTAGCTGCCGCTGCTGCTTGGTAGCTGCTGCTGCTGCGGCTGCTGCTGCGTGGTGGTTGCTGCTGCTGCTGCTGCTGCTGCGTGGTAGCTGCTACTGCCTTTGCTGCTGCTGCTGCCTGTGCTGCTGGTGCTGCCTTAGCTGCTGCTATGCTGCTGATTTGCTGGTGCTGACTGGCTGGCGGTCGAAGGGGCGTGCCGTATGGTCTGTGCGAACGCACGGAACGAATCGGTTTGTTTTCCAGGGGCAGGCAGGGTCGGATGTCTTATGTTTTTGGTGGCCAGAGAGGTTCAACTTCCACAAAGTACATGTGGAGATGACATAGTTTGTTGACGGTTGTTTGATTGAAAAGAATAGCTTTAACATGTTCTAACCATTCCGACATGGGCTGAGCGAAGTCAGAGGTGTGGGAACCACCCTGAAAAAAGAGGGGGCGGCTGTGTTGCAGTGCCGCAACGCCTCTGTTTCGACAGGAACTACAAGACAAAGGCGACGGAGGAGATGACCATCTTGCGAGAGAGGCAAACGGAGATGCGGGAGAAGAACGTGTAGAAAGCGGGCACAGGCGGGCACACGGGCCAATATCTCAGTCTTAAAGAGTATCTTACCTGGCAAAGGTTGAGGCACAAGTCCAACGCTGCAGTGATGCGGAGTCAGCCTGTTCCATTCGCAGGCTTCCACTTGACCCTTGCAGACTTCGAAGCAGTCTTTGTCCTCCAAATCATTTCCATTCTTCCTCACTAGTGTCTGAACCAAAACGTACGACCAAAACACATCAAGTCCACCAAGTCCACCCCAGGTCGTGTGGCAGAACGCCCGTTTCGCCCGCGTCGATTGTCGGGGAGGAGGAGCAGCGGGAGCTGTGGGCGCGAATGGAAGGCCCCGACTGGCCGGCGGCGGACTGGTCGCTGAGCAGTGCTGATGCACGGCGGGTGGGCGACGCAGAAGAGAAAGGAAGAGGGGCCAACAGTCCAACCAAGAGTGGGGGGGTTGTTGATGTGTTCGTTGGTTTTTTCTTTGAGCCCACCGACATCGCCAGCTTCGCCGCGAGCATCGCGCGTGTTTGTGCGCGGTTGTCGCTTCGCCCATGTGCTTCGTGAGGACAGGATTCAGACCGGGGTGGCCTCGTTGCAGCGTCGCACGCTCAATGGCATCCTAGTTCTTCACGAGACCAACCATGCGGCGACTTTCGTCTATCCGTGCGTCCGTTGCGTGGAGCGCCAGGTCCGACAACGTCGTCCCCAGTGAGCGGGGTGAAGACTTCGGGGGGGTCCGAAGAAGGTCCGGGGGAAGACGTCGATCGCGCTGTCAGGTTTGGTCTTCTCCCCCAGACGTGTTTTTTTGAAGAGACGTATCTTTGTTGTTGGGGGACCAGGTGATCGAGAGAAAGTTTAAAGTTGGCCGAAATAGAGTTGATTGGCTACCGTTGGACGTGTGTTGATTGGGTTCTTGGCATCAATTCTTCTGTCAACTTTCAGTAAAGTCATTGGAACCGATTGTATGTGCATTGGAATTTGTATGATCATGCATGATAGTAAGGTTGACTCAGGTGGTTTTAGGTGATTCGAGGATAATTGAGGTATGGCACCAAAGGATGAAATCGAAGTGAAGTAGTTTCGGCTCGCTAAACGACGGTGCGACAGATCGACAGAGCGGGAGTTTCAGGTAGTACCTGAAATATCATCCGGGTGCTTTGCTTTAGATTTCCCGATGACAGCGAGAAAGTCTCTTTGGATTTTTGTCTGATTCATAAATTGTACCGGTGACCGAAGCTGAGGATTATAAAGCTGAGCAGTCCAAACCAACACCACATTGTAGCCCAAAGCCCAAGCATCCAAAATAACCCCTCAACCATGCCGGAGAGGCCCCTCCTCTGGAGCCTCTCGACTGCCTCTCCTCTCCACTCCACGTGGTGGAACAGCCGACTTGTTATGCGCTTGAGGCGGCCCTAGAGGCCCTGGAGGCGGTGGTCGACATGATGCCCCACGCCTGCGAAATAACGGGCGCGGGATGATGAGAAACGACGTTGGAATAGAGAGGTGGGCGGGGGCAAAGGCGGCAATGTCCAAGTGTCCAAAAGTCCAGCCTTTTGTGCCATCTTGCCCGCAGTGGATCCACAGACTTCCACCGTAGTAACCTGACATCGTTCCAGGCACTCGCGCTGATTGCACACGTCCCACGTGGGTGTCATCAGCTTGGGGAACAATGCAGAATCCGCCTTTCTGTACAGGTCCTCCAGGAGCCTGACTCGACAAAGAGTCCATGTGAAGTCCTAGTCCTGGATCCTGAGGCACTCGTGTGGCCGCGGCGCGTTTGCACGAGGCAAAGAGGGCTGTTCTTGACGAGGACGAGGAAGAAGGCTGACCGTCTGAGCATCGAAGCGGCTTGCAAGCAATGTACCAATTGTGGCTTCTGCCAAGGACTGGAGAGACTGGGTACACTATCTCCACATGAGATGGGACTTGTAAAATGTATATCGTCAACCAGCAGCCTTATCTCATCAGCGCACAACCATGTTTTTGTCACTTCCACAAAGTCCATCTCAACAGGGAAGGCAAGAAAAAGATGCACAACGAGCTTGACTAGAAATTACTGCAGGTAATCCGAAAAGAACACAGCAACGTATACATCCTTACACATCCTTATACTTCTCGCCGTGTCGTCTCCAACGCCCAGGTTGGGGAGGCAAGAGGTGCCACAGGAACCGAAGTCCGCAGGATTTGAGGCGATTGCTCGTTCCAAGTTGGGTGACGTGGAACCTCAATCTTGCTGCTTGTGTGTAAACTGTGAGATTGGATTTCTGGATTGGGGACCCAATCGCAACTGCTGTGTGTCGATGGGTTTCAACTGGCCAGCTGCACAGGCGGCGACATCACGCCCTGAGCACTGCAAGTCCAGCACAGAGCGCTTTCTGGCACGATGCTGCTTGCTTCAACTGGATGTCTTTGCAGCGCTCTTCTTCTGTTCTCTTCGTTCGAAAAGAAGGTGCTCGTTGTTTTAAAGACCTTGGAAGCGAAGCTTGGATGCAAGTAGCTTTGTGGTAATTCGGCTTATGCGTCCTTCGCATCGCTGGATGCAAGTAGCATGTATTCCAGCTTTTCAAGACCGAACCGCTTGTATACAAGGGTTTCCTGCTTTGATCAGTGGCCTACACTTTGCTTCAGCCTCAGGACTTCCGAAAGAAGAAAAAGAAGTTGTGGTGCAATAAGTACATGTAACTTGCAAACCCAACACCTTTCTCGCTTAGCTATTATAAGGTATAGGGAATCCTGGCCTTGCATCCTGGGATCGCTTGTGGACTTGTCCAAGGAGGTTGTGAAGAACGCACGCCGCTGTGCGCCGCTCGGCGTCCGTGCAGGACAGCTGGGTGCGGAGGCGTTGGTGAAGGACCAGCTGTAAAACGTGATGGATGCGGCGTGACACGGTGCCTGCGCAATATGGACAGTTTGTTGCTTTCCCGGTCGAAAGGCAGGATGGGGGCAGTCCAAGCTGGCCTAGTTGTGCCATTTTCAGAAAGAGACCCAAGAAAGACCCAACACCAGACACGAAGGAGATGATAAGTTTGTGCTTGTACCATGTTCTTTCCGGCCGCCCAAGGCCTTTTGCTTTGACGGCATCAACGGTAGTGGCCGGTACAAGTGCACACCACGTTTTGCAACACAGAGTCTCTTGATGTTTTAACATACAGTAGTTGACGCATTTTTCTGTTTTGCACGAAAGTAGTGGGCTCAGCCGCATCTTGAAGGAGATACCTGGTTGAACGTCGGTGTCCACGTTGCCCGAGAGTTCTTTTGTCGGTCAGGTGTCCGATGGGTGGTGCTGGACCTGCAGGGCCAAGATGTCGCGGCGGCAGAACCGTCTTCGATCAGTTTGTTGCACGGGATCTCGCGAGAATCAGGAACTTGCAGGCCCCGGGGTCCGCATCTGTGGGCCGGAGAGCAAGAAGCTACGAACAGGGCTGGCGGTACTACTAGGAGTGATGTTTGCTAGTAGATAGAATTTAAATTAGAATCTACTGAGAATTGGAACTAGAACGCTACTAGGGGCTCGTGGCCGTACTGCTAGTAGCAAATAGGTATGAAGAGCAAAGGGCAGCGCTAAGTCGGAGTGATCGGATGCTACGAACGGGGCTCCGTAGAAAAACCACAGCAGGTGCAAAGCGACCTGCGGTTGGTCGACGGCTGGGGGTCGGAGCAGGTATGTGCCAAACTCCCAACGAAGGCCTGCAAGGTATGTACTGGTAAGAAACACGAAACAATTTTGTTGCTACAGTTTTTTTCTCTCAGCAAAACATGTGCGGACTGTTCTTTGTCAGTGTTGTATTTGTCTTCGCCAGGAAGTTGCCAAACAGTAAACAGCCTGAGTGATCACAAAGCTCTCACTTGTGGTTTGCATCGGATTTGGAAGGCTTTGTGACCACATTTTTTTTTGTGCATCGCTTTTGCGTGGGATGAGGTGATAAAGGCAAACATCCTTTGACATACATGTATACATATACATGCATATAACAGATATATAATTTATATATATAGATATATATGTCAATATGTCTTTTTTGCAAAGCAGGGCTGTGACAGGATGCTTTCCCGCTGCCACCCAAGGACGGGCACCAGGTTTTTGTTGCCCTGAAGCTCCACCCTTGTGTGCAATTCGTGTTTTGCCAGTTTTGCTGTGTGCCTTTGTCGGTTGTACAGCGTTTGGTGAAGGCTCAAAGGATCTCAGACCGACACTGACACCCAGACTGTGTTGCGACTTTCTTGCATGTACAGATCTCTGTCTCAACCTAGGCACACGAATGTTTGGCTGAAAGAGCCTTTCTAGTGCGCTTGCGATGAGGCATTTCTGTCGCAGGTTTGGCATGGTACAGTCGATGCTAAGACTTGCGGCCAGTTACCCAAATGAAGACCACCACATCGCTGCAAAGCTGAGCTCACGGCCAATTTATACAATTTGCGTGTTGTCTTGTCAGCAAATGCAAAATCCCAGGCTGTGCTGGAGGCCAACACTGAAGTTCGTCGTATGTGCACACCTTGCAACAAGACGCTGCAAGAACTTCAAGAGCAAAGCCTGGGAAGTCTCCAGACTCCAGACACTTCCCAGACCCATCTTTCTGTGTTTCATTTCTAGGGAGGTGGTCTCAGCAAATACTTTCAGAACAGTAGTGAAAGCCATTGTCTGGCTCCAGTGCTTATGGTCGAGCGGTCCTTTCATTCCATCCAGTGCTGAGTAAAACACGGCAAGATGAGGAAGAATGCATGTGGGAAGAAGACGGTGTGCGAATGACTTTTCTAGAAAGCAGCCGCCAAATTCTGGCAGGCAGGCTTTCTCGTGTTCAGGGCTCGTGGAGCGTGAACGTGTTTTCTGCTCCTGGCCTTTTGGTTCGCATCCAGAGTCATTGGGCTAATGGACTCTCTGTCCTTCGGCGAAGTGCCAAATATGGTGCGTGTGTTTGCAAGTTGCCGCGGTCCCCTGTAGCTTTGATAATTGTAAATAGGATCATTCTTCTCAGCAGAAATGGCAGTCAAGTGATTTGGACCCTTTAGTAAGTAACAAGAAGCTACTAGTAGCAAATGTCGGTAGTACCAGGAACAAGAAGCTACAAGGGGCTCCTGGCATCACTACTGATTCTGTTTTGCGTGTGGTAACGACCGACACTGCCGCACCATCCCGGCTCAGGTGGCCTCCTTGAGGTCATCAACACTACTTGCACGCCACTGGGCGAATCGGGCATGATTTAGAGCTGTGCCAAGGATATCGAAAGAATCCTTTGCCGAATAACCCCTATAGAATGGGGGGAGGTCGAGGTCCAAAACGACTTGGTTCTGTTCATGTGGAGGTAGTCTCGAATGTGTCTTCATCACGATTGTCCTTCCTACCACCCCTGCTTTCCACACGCGACCACAACAACACCCACAAAAAAAGACCCCCGCAAGTCAAGCAGACCTCTTGCCCCGAGGAGCCGCTTGCTGGACTTGTGGGGGTCTTCGTTCCATATCAGAGCCGCTCGTCGGCATTGCGATGTGCAGAGGGCGCCATAACTTCAGAAGCTGCTTGGGTTAGGAGGCGTTCACATTCGAAGCATTTAAGATGTACATGCCAAGCTGGTGCTCCCTCCACTTTTCGTTCAAGATTCCGAGGAGAATACGCTGAGATTCTCGGGGGCCAACGTGTTCGGTGGAGTGTTGTAAAGGCGGTTTTGTTGTGGTTCAGGTTCATGAATGCTTTGCAGAATTGATTAAGACGTGACTTACGCCCCTAGGAACGGAGAGTCCGCGCCGAGACTTCAACTGCCGCGTTGGCGCCAGGCGGAGTTGGCGCTGCTTGCTCACGCAGTTGTGAAGAGCATGTGAGCAGAAGACATTGCTGTTCTTGTGACTTCATCAGACTGCAAAGATAGATTGGCTTTAAAGCTCCAATTGCCCCGACAGCCTTCATCAATGCATCTCTTGTTCTTAAGATGCTGACATGACAAACAAGAGACCCTGTTATTGTGGAAGACTATGTTACAGAAGCATCATATTTTTGTCCGGGTCGTTCAGACGGATTCTTCTCTCTAAGGCCTTCTTCACCTTCGGTTCCGCAGACTCAGCTCCCGTGTCTCCGCAGCAAGTGCTTTCCCAAAGAGAAGTTGTTCTCCAGCCAAGTAGGGTCCAACTAGTGGTGACAGACAGAGTGGACCGAAGCCTAGTGAAACCTATTGGGAACAATGCCTTTCTTTTGCGGTACCAGCACAGATTGAGCAGACAAGATGACTTGCTAGTCACACGGGAGTTGACGCTGGGTTCGAAATCAAGGCGGTTTTGGTCTGCTGTTGGACTGTTGGAGGCTCATTCTGACCAAGACGCGACTCTCTCGTCGTTGACGGACAAACTCCGCGGTCGCTGTGGTTGTCGCTGGTGACCGGAGACCGGAGTTCGATCGACGAGGGGACGTCCCCGCATGGCACGCGCAAGTCAAAGCCTTGGTTGGCTATAGGTTGAAAAATGAACATCAAATAGCCAACCCAGCAGCCAACAAGCAGCCAGTGCATCGCTACTGGTAACAAAAGGCTACGAGGAAGACAACTTTTTGGCCGCCTGACGGTACCGTTGTTGCAAGCCTTCGCCTAATTGCGCAACTTCTCTGGAGCAACACGAGTGAAAAACCTTTGATGAGACACGCGTGCCGCGGGTGGTATTCAAATGAGAGTTCAAGACAAGTAGGACTCGATTATAGAAATTGTATGGAACGGGGATGGAAGGGGTATTCGAAGGTCTTCTCAACAGTTTCTGTCAACATGTTTTCTCGTTTTGTCTTCCATTGTCCTAAGGCGACATGGAGGTTCGCAATAGCATCCTGCCCTTTGGGAAGACGGATCTTTCTCACCCCTTCGGTTGGCTCCTTGGACAAGCTTCATGCTGATCCGGAGGCAGACATCACTGGGAGAGTGGCAACTGCAACTTAGAGCTCCTGGGGGTAGTCTGACAGGGGTATTTGTTACATGGTAGTTACTGAAGGAGAACAGCGAAAGCACAATCTCTGCACTTGTGGTCGATTCATAGACCCGCGTTCTTTCCAGTGCTGTGAGTTTCTAGGAGGTCCATGTCCATGTAGCATCCGGCAGCTATGGAAAGTCCTGTATAGAACCCCATGCGTAAACCTTGTCCTTCTAGCAGTTATAGCAACATCCTCGCTCTCTTGGTCGTCCCTGCCGTGAGGTGACGAGTTTGTTGTATCGGTTGCTGGCACAGTCTCGGATGGGGAGCCCGCGGTGCATCGATTTGACTCGAGGAGGCACCGCTGGTGGCCGCCGGGAAGGCTGGTATTTGAAGTGAGTCTGGCACCTTGTCGCGCTAGCAAAGCGCTGGGTTGCGCTAGGTTCGCGCAAGGTTTGCGGTATAGGATCGAGTACTTCGGTAATTCAGAAAAGATGCACAAAGAAGAGCTGCTTGTAACGGTTGCTCCCCGGTGCACATACACACGCACACACCCACAGAGGCACACGAGCAGCAACTGTTTGAAAGGCAGCGCGCGCTGACAAAGGCAGCAGCTGTTTGAAAGGGAGTAACTGTTTGAAAGACGAGAAAGCGAGTTTTTGCTCACAGACGTTTGGCGGCCTCATGCACGCGAAGGGAAGCGCGCTGGAGCCGCGCGAGACCCGCGCAAGATCCACGCTAGACCCCGTTGCAATGGTCACCACTTATCCAAGTGCTTTCCAGGGTGTATAGTCTTGGCAGTGTGTTTCGGTGTGCAAGAGGACGCCTATTTTCAGCTTGACGTTTGGAAGCATTGGACTCTGTAAGTAAGAACGCAACGGTTACAAGAGCACATACAACAGACAACCATGTACATGCGCACATGTTGGGTACATGATAGCCACCGCTTGGAATGCCTGTGTTTTCAATCTTGGATGATGCTGTTCGAACATTTTTTCAACTTAGTTGACACTGCAGGTGAGTTGCCCACTTCTGGGAACTGCCACATGTTACCACAGATGCATTCTGTCGCCTTGGAAAGACAGATTTCCAGGTCCCTGTGATGTTCTTGTTGGAACGGAGATGTCTCGAACAAGCATTGAACCACGGGCCAGAGTGGAGGGAGCCAACCATGAGTGAAACTCAGGGAGTTGGAGGATCTGTGGAGTTGGAGGCACAGACGTAAGCAAGACCAAAAACATGCAATAGTTTGTCCTGAAGACACATCCACAGATCACCTGTTGACGGAGATTCTCAGACGGAGCAGGAGCTTGCAACTTTTATGTACGAACAAAGAAGTTCTTCCCAGTGCGGCTGTCATTTTGACACAGCGAGTCGCACCACGGTAGCCGCAGGCCGTCGTGGAAGAGGCGACAGCTTTTGATGGCTGCTTCTCCTGTTTGAAGCAGTCGGCACTTGTTTTCGTCGTTACTAGTAGCTTCTTGGTGCTAGTAGTAAGGCCAGGAGCGCCCCTAATAGCGTTCTTGCTCCTAGTAGCGATGCCCTTTGCTCCTAGCAGCTTCCACTAATTGTTTTTTCTTTGTTTCTTCATTTTCCAGTGTTGAAACTGCGTCTTGGGTTTGGTTGGACAACATCTCGAAGCTTCAGGTTCTTTTCGTGAGTGCCTTGGAGGGAGAGGGCTTGGAGGACCTCAGCAGTCCTCTTAGAGGTCGTCAGATGCCAAGAGGTCGTCTTGGAACTCATGTTGTTTCATGCTGACGTGCCTTCTGTGCTTTGTGTGAATGTAATCAACATGATCGAGAATCGTGACAAGCGCAAATCACGTCGAGCTTGACTCGGAGTACCTCTGTTGTTGGACGCAAAAGACGTGTGGAGGTTGGCAACACATGTTTTCATTCTTCCACGACAGAACCAGCAAATTGCA